ATTTTATTTTATTTTATTTATTTTATTTTATTTTGTTTTGTTTTGTTTTGTTTTGGCATAATATTGTAATGGCATCGATTATTATCGATTATTAACAGGACCTCGCGTTCATGGCATGACGCAACTTAGGAACATATATTGATATAGTTCTTTCGCTCAGTTGACGTTTAACATACTTGACATTTGAGTAAGCACCGAGTTTTCGACAACCAAAACTTTGATGACAAGGAGCAAGCATCAAACAATCATTAAAATCGCGTTATCTGGCAAAATTTGAGCCCGCAAACATGCGTGCGCATAAGTTAAAAAAATTGCATGTTACTATGTGTCGAGCCTAGTGATGACACCCGGCCAATGCTAAAAAAAAAACCTGCCGAATTCGGGCAGGGAATTCTTTTGTAACGATCGGAAACAGCCACGAACTGTAACAAAACCCATTTACCTACGTACAACGACATATTTAATTTAAAACAATAACCTTTCCCACACAACATTCACGCAAATTTGTACGTTATTTAGACCGACTGACTGACAAAGAGCACTATAGAAGCAGAAAGACGTAAAAGACTCATTGAAAGAAGGAGGGAAGAGGCGGCAACAACTGAACTTTAGACGCGGTTTTAGATCTATTACATCAATTTTGAAGTCAATGCCGAACATCGTCAAATTGTTTACTCTGCTGCCTACAAGTCGTTGACGTTCTCAATGACGTCACTAAAAGTTTCTAAAGTTTTTACCAGACGAGGCATTTCAGTTGCAAAACTTTTGACGTATCTTGAACAGGGAAAACGACAAAATCCTTTCTTACTATGATTAGACTTCTGTTCGTCTTTCTTATAGCGCTGTGTAATATTAAAGGTAAGTCGATATTCAGAATGACTTGATGGTGAACAAACTGTCTAAATCTATAGTTTTGTGTATTTGGTTGGTTCGCATGGGTCACGTCGGGCGGCCGATATGAAATACAATCGATCAGTTATGGGACGCCATAAACGGCTAAAAATCCTGTGACTATGGGGCAATAACCGAAGTAGAGTATCATTAAGAGACTTGTTAATATCCAGGAGAATGGATTTCAACATTTTCATAGATTCTTAGGTTTTTTCCTTATGACAAAAACTTCGCAAAAGAATRTTTGATATTGAAACTCCATCGATAGTAATACTAAAAGAAAATATTCGCTACAGGTGGGCAATGCTAGAGGAATGCCAAAAGCAGGAAAACAGTCCGACTAAGTCCTGAGCTTTATAACAAATTAATTGTAAGGGTTTAATTGTGATTAAAAAACTTCCTCTTTTAGAAAGTGTTCCGACCTCTCGTGAGACTAAAAGTCTTCGTCGTCAAGTTAAACTAATTCGAGTTTATTATCCGTGAAAGACAAACACTTTGACAATCTCATTAAATGACAGCCTACTTTTGAGGGGATATTATGCCTCCACTTTACCTTATTCCCTTTTCTATGATAACCAATTATATACAAATACACTTTGGATTTCTTTTTGAGATTTTCTGACTTAGACTTTGGATTATTGGATAGTATTATAGATAGTTAGGGACAGATTTGTTGTGTCAATAATGTGATGTTTTTCGCCATATTAGATTTGACAATCAGACAGCTCGAACCTTACTGAGGAAATTGATACATGGTTTAAGATGAACTATAGTCGACTTAGCCTTGGCTTTTAATTAGTTAACTTAGGCTTAACTTTAGTTTTAAAACATATAAAGAACGTATCTTACATTTTTTTTAGAACGAAAGCTAGAATGACTTAATTTTTCCATATTAAAATGAGGACACTTCAGTCGTATTACTGAGCACTCAATGGAGATCAAGGAATGTTAAAAACCTTTTAGAAAGCTTTAGCGTTTATTGTCTTTAAGAACTTGCATTGCGGCGAAAAAAAGCAATAAACATCTTTTAGGGTTGGAAAATATTATTTCTTACAGAAACGTTTTGTAAAAGTTAGGCGCCAACGAACAAAAACCCTTAACGTCACTTGAAAATTTTATGAACGTTTGGTACAATTTTTCTCTGCTTGTAAATACCTTCGCCACTCCTTAAGGAACGTTCATTGTCCTTCTTAAGGAGGCTGGAAAGTGTTGCATGTTAAGGCCTGGGTTATGAACAATTTCTCTATCAAACCATTAAAAAATCATTTCTTTGGTGCTTCTGCTTAAAGTATAACCAGCATTCTCAAGCTTTCTTAGATCTTGGTTCTGTAAAAAAGGGGATTCCAAAAAAAGGGAAAAATTTAGGTCACGTGATCACGACATTTACATAAATTTACATAAAAATTCATTTTAATTGTAGGTGCTCATTTTAAGTCTTTGCTGAACATTTTCAACCTTAATGTATTTCCTTTTCTAAAGTCGTTCAATTGACGTTGAGAATAGTTGGCTAAAGTTTTGTGTTAAGGAGATATTTTACAAAACAGGTCACGTGACCTGTCAATATATCCTTTATGCCCATTTTTCTCCTTTCGTAAACATTTTGGTCGACCATTCCAAACGTGAATATCTGTATCTTTGTCGCTACTTTCAAACAAGCTAAAGAAATCTCACAAATAATCTAAAACCATCAACCTAGTTTTTAATTTAGCATTTTCCCTTTTTTAAGGTCACGTGACCACCTTTTATGCAAATTTATCCATCCAAAAAGTTAAGCACCCGAAATAAGGATAACTGCAATCGCATTCAATTACGTCTAAAAATGAGGAATCTACGGTGAAAAGTAGTTTTTGCCCTTTTGAACAAAATCCCAGGCCTTCATAACTCAAGAACCAAATGGTGAATCTTTTTAAAAACCGGGATATTTAAACTTTGAATCGTAATCTTCTTTTTGACGAAAAAAGAAAAAAATTATGTAAAAGGGAATTCGCAAAAATTAATAAAATTTGTTTGGAATCGGTTTCCTCTTACAGAATTTTTAAAATTTCTAAGATTCTATTAAAGCGAATTTATTTGTGTAGCTTTGTTCCAACATACTATGGATGTTGTTGAGAATGTCGAAACTTCCAATACTTTTGTCTTTATTTTTTCTTTTAAAATGTACAAATATGCTGAAAATAAAAGGTTTAGTATTTCACAAGATTTTTAGAAGATTTGTAATCCGTGAATTGCCTTTCCAGTCGTCACATGACGCTTTATTAAAATGACGTCATACACACGTTACTCATCAAGGTTGATCATGCTCTCTCTTTTCCAGCTTCCATTACGAGTTCATCTTGTAGGGTTGCTTTCGAACCTGTTGGATGTTTCCGGGATGACGGGCGAAAACCAAAGCCACTTCCCGAGCAGTTATTGAATGACCGAGAGAAAATCGATTGGAATAATTGGGACTCGTTTATGGAAGATTTGGTTTGTCGGTGCGCAAAGAAAACCTTGGATGAAGGGTACGACACGTTTGGGATCCAGTATTATGGTAATTATACGTTCAAAGGATAAGAAAAACAGAAATCAGAAGAATAATGCCCGTATTGTTTCAGTGGATCATTCCAATGACTTAGACCTTTCTTAAGGGTGCACATTGTGGTCTAGCTTGCGTTAAACCATCTTTTGTTTATCATACCTTATATGGTGATGTTTGTACCGAAGCTAGACCACAATGCATTCTGTTTATGGAACTCGGTCACTTCTGTTTTCTGAATTCCCATGACTTTAAAATGTCTGAGGCACGTGAAAGAAACACTCAGGGATTTATGCCAAATATTTCCTATTTCTGATACTTCATACATTCAAAAAAAAAAAAAAAAAAATCCCTTCACCAAAAAAGCTTGATATGAGAAAGCATAGACTCCAAAGTAGAAGGAAAGGATCACCTTCAAACTAATTGAACGTCCGTCCTTAACTGTGTCTTGTCATCTCAACAGGGGAATGCTGGAGTGGACCTGAGAACCTTATCGATATTGATCGCGACGGATCTTCAAATGAGTGCATCAGTCATGGCTACCAGAGTTGTAAGGCCCAGAACACCACTTGTGTTGGTAAAAATGGAGCTAACTTTGTCTACAAGCTAGGTAAGGAGAAAACGAAGTTTATCAGTTGACATCTTTAGAGACGCATCTTTTTCCACGACGATTGCACAATGATATCATTTTACCACTAATACCTGAATGGTTTCCAATTTTACCTTATGTAAGTTTTTGCCCCTTCGTAAGAGCAGTAGACAAATACTGGGTTTCAATCAGCTGATAAAAGTCTATAAATCTCATTACCAGWTTCACATGGTTGTTAAACACTGACCACCATGTGCTGTCAGCCAGAAAGAATTCCATTGAAAACTTGCAATTCAGGTGATGATTATTCCACACGAGACTGGAAATGGCCTCAAATGAAGCCCAGCAATTGAAATGAAACTATAGATCAGAACTGAGTCGAACCCGGCTAATGCGTAATAAATGTATCCATTTCAGTTCAGCCAAGCTGTTCAATCCAGATCGAACGTGTTGGTTGCTTTAAAGACGACATGATACCCCCACGACCATTGCCCGAGTACATCCTGAGCGAGCGTGACCCGACTGCTCCCTCGTATAATGGTACAGATATCGATTGGATTAACTGGAATTCCTACATGCCGGGATTTATCTGCCGATGTGCCATGCTGGCCAGAAAATATGGATACACTGTGTTCAGTATACAGTTCTTTGGTAGGTTCTAGTGTGATGGCTGTATATTTTATAAGCGCGAAACCGAGGTTAAGGCTGAGCAAAAGAGAAACTCGTAAACAGAATATTGCACAACGAAATGTATTGAAGAAATAGAAAACGCGCGTGCGTGCTGTGTGCAGTTATAAAGCACGTGGGGGTTGGCAGAACACGAGAGAAGTGTTAGGAGAAGCACAACGCGTAGCGGATCCCCATGTGCTTTATAAAATAAAAATCACAATAACCATTATTTTGGATAATAAATGACACAACTAATGATACATGCGTATTATATTTATTCTCATAAAGCACGCTCTCCCTACCAAACAGAACGAGAGATTTAATTAACAGTTATTTTATGAGAGTGACTATCTGTACGAGGTTATGTTATGAATGAAAATGTTTATGGCTAATGACTGACTATTCTTTTCAGCGGAATGTTGGAGCGGACCGGCAGCTATCAGAACATACGATCGAAATGGCGAGTCTTCTCGCTGCATCAGTAAGAATCTAAGGCCCTGTAAACCAGACGACAGATACTGCGTTGGCAAGCAATTCACCAACTTTGTCTACAGGATTGGTAAGTAATCACTACGCCCTTAAATCTGGTACTTACTTGCGACGCAAGCAGACGCACCGAAAAGAAGCAACGCAAGCACAATCGCAAGTGTACCGTAGCGATAAAACGTTGGCCTGAAATTCCTACGGGTCGAGTCGCTGGTTCTAGTCTTTCTGAAGCCACATGTGTATAGAGTTTGTTTCATATGTTATTTTCTCCCTTGCAACGAAGGTTTTCAACGGGTTCTCCTGTTCCTGTTTTCCTCCCTCCTCAAAAATAAAGCATAAGCATCGACGACAAAACACACGACGACAAAGGAATAATGACGTCACAGTTTGAAAATCCTGGGGCAAAATCCATTCCATATAACATATATTTTTGGAATTATGATAAGAAGTTTTAAAAAGAATAGATTTCATARACATAAAAAAAGAAAATAACGCGTTTTCGTGTAAACAGCATACAGCTTAAAATTCCGTCGTCGACGATGGCAGGATAACTGGTGCACATGTACAGACATGCGCAGTTATTGAGATATATACTACTGTGTATAAACAAAGCTTATTGTTTATCTGCATCCAATTCACAGTTGAGCCTTGTGACATCACCTATACACAGCTTGGTTGCTACAGAGACAAACTCGATACACCACGGCCTATCCCTATTCTCATGTCAACTGAGCAAGATCGTACAAGCAAGCAATTTAATGGTCACGTGGTTGACTATCGCAGATGGGATGAACACATGGAGGGAATGATATGCCGTTGTGCAAAAAGATCGTTTGGCAGCAAGTTTAAGATATTTGGCATGCAGTCTTACGGTAAGCAAGTTTTTTATAACATTCTTTATAATTTGAAAGATCAGACTGGATATAAAATATTAAAAAACATTCAAAGAATATTTATTTTGTTGTGACTTGTGAAAAAAAATCCAGAATTTCGAGGACAAAAAAAAAAGACAAAGAAAGGAAAGTAGAAGAAGAAAGGAATAAAGAAGGAAAAAGAAAAGAAAGAAAAAGAAATAATAAGTTATAATTTAAAAAAAAAAAAGAGTCAGTGAGGAAAGAAAAGGAGGAAGGAAGCAGGAGAAGAGATGAGGAAAAGGAGGGAATGGATGAAGGAATGGATGAAGGAATGATGTGCAAAATAAAAAAGATGAAGAAGAAAAGACGGCCAAGGAAGAAAATTACAAAACACAAAGCAGCAAGAATAACAAAACAACAATGACATGTTGCCTTTGCTGGATACAATTTTTTTTTAAATTAATCAATTCGTGGTGCTTTTGTGGTGATATATTGTATTTTCTATTCTAGGAGAGTGTTGGAGTGGTGAAGGAGAGAGGACCTATCGTAAAGATGGCGGATCTAACAGATGTGTAGCCAAACGATTCTCCACTTGTCCCCCCAAGAGTTTGCACTGTGTTGGAGAAGTAGCAGCCAATTATGTGTACTACGTAACATGTGAGTAGCATTYGAAACCGTCCTTGTTTACGAGGGTAACACTTAATAACACTTAGCCTGCTCGACCTGCCCTCGGTACATACTCGGACACACTTCGAGCTGCACTCGGTACATAGTTGGGCACACTTCGACCTGCCCTCGGTACATACTCGGACATACTTTGCTAACTGTGGCGTGCAACGTCGCTGGTCTAGCGATACTCCCATAAGTCCCATTTCATTGGCTAAAACAATAACGCAATATGTAACCAATGACGTTACGGGTTCTGTTTAAGAGACAAATCGTGTTCTACTGAAGAAATAGAAAACGCGCGCGCGTGCTGTGTGCTGTTATAAAGCACGCGGGGATAGTTAGAACATGAAAGAAGCGTTTGGAGAAGCACGACGCGTAGCGGATATATAACTCCACAGCACAGTGAGCAAGTTTTCTTTCATTTCTTTCATAAAATACGCGCGTGAGTGCTGTGTGCTCTCATAAAGCACGCGCTCCCAACCAATAAGAATGCGAGATTTACAACAGCTATTTTATAATTTTCTGTATCCGTTCTGTTCTGTTATGTGTTCCGAACTAGATCCGCTGAAGAGTTGGACCACGTTGCAATTCCATGATTGCCTGGAACATTGCGCCGTGTGTCTGCATGTACCGAGTGAATATATTTTGTGACGGCACTATATTTCAAATGCCGCGACAGCGCGAGTTCGTTGAGTTAACGCAAAGGAATGAGAACGGAGAGTAACTTTACAAAACAATTTATTGAATCGCA